AGAACCCCCTCCCCCCCCAACCCCAGGCTGGCTGGATTGGCTGTGGGATCAAGGACTCCTCTCTCCTTTGCATTGAACCTGTGCTCAGGATCAACCCTGCCCCCCCTTCCCCAGGTCCAGGGCATCGGCCCCACCTTCAAACTGACCCTCCACATTCAGAACACGTCAGCTGGGCGCCCCTCCATCAACCTGCTGGTGAGCTTCCTCTACGACCAGAGCCTCTATGCCATGAAGAGAGCCTTCTTCAAGGTACCCCCACCCCCCAACACCTCTGACCACCCCTACAGGCCCCTGCACTCTGACTGACTCAGCTTTGTCTCCCTACAGGCCCCCATGCTGGTCCCGGGACTGAACTACCCCATTGAAACTTTCGTGGAGAGTCTGAGCGACAAGGGGATCTCGGACGTCATCAAGGTTTGTACAGGGACACCCCACCGCAGAGAGATGCCTGACACTTTAAAATGCTCCCACCTCCCTCCTGGTGTGGGGATTAGTACCCAGAGGTGGCTGCATCTCAGTGCCACGGGAGGGATCCATGTATAAGGAGGCCCTGCACCCCACCCCAGAGGTGGCTGCATCTCAGCGCTGGGCGCTCTGTCTTCTCTCTTGCAGGTATTTGTATTGCGGGAGGGCCAGAGCATGCCCTTGCTGACTGCCCATATCAACATGCCAGTGAGTGAGGGCCTGGTTGCTGCCTGAACCGCCTCCGGGGGCGATAGAGACCAGAGCTGCAATAAATCCCATAGGAGCCCTCACTGGATCAGAGCCAGGACTGAGAGCCGAGGCCCCCTGCTGTGCAGTGAACCACCCGCTGCCCCCAGGGTGCACATTGCTGACTTGGGACCATGTAGAGGGGGGTGTCTGGGATGCTGCCCCTCCAACCCCCGACCTGGGGTGCAGACCCAGCTGCGTTGTCTGGGATCAGGACAGCTCCTTACATCAGAGGTGGTGGGGGGAGGTCTTATGCCCAGGCTGGAATTAAGAGCTGCTCAGGAAAGGGGTGTTTCTCCCCCATCATGGCCCTGGGGGCAGCACCTGGAAACCCCCTTAGCTGTGATCGTAGCATCTCACTAAAGCCAGCACCGTTGCTGTAACGAGGGTGCTGGTGTGTGGAGTGCGTAGCATGGTGGGAGTCGGGTGGTACACTCAAGTTAACAATTAAACAACCTCCCCCCATCAAAGGGGCCACACACACAGCTCATAAAAGCAGTTTAATGGCAGTTTCACAGGCCCCTTTCGCTGCTGCAGCAAAGGGAAGGAGCATTCGCGTGGAGGCAGTGTTGCTGGAAGGGCCGAGCCCAGCTCTGGGTACCTGTGGGGATGGAGCTATAGCAATCTGAGTATCGAATTCATTCCCCCATCACCCAGGGAAGGCCCGTGGCCCCAGTTATTTTTGTCTTGGCAGTGGCAGGGATCTTGGCAGGGAGTCAGCAGGCTCTCTGCAGCAGCAGCACCTCCTCCTTCAGCGCGGGCAGTGGACTTCATGTCCCGGAGCCCCAACGCGGTGGACTGTGGCTGTTATAGGGAATGTGGTGATGCCGCAGGCGTTACTGCCACGATGGAGACGGTAATAGCCCTGCCGAGAGGACACGCGGTTAGGGACAGATGGTACTGGACAGTCTTTCCTCACCCAGGGCTGCTCTACACCGGGAACTGACATTGGCATAGCTCTGTCTCTCGGGGGTGTAACAATCCACACACTCCGAGAGACATAGCCGTGCGGCCCTGCCCCCGCAGTAGCCTGCGCTACTGGATGGAAGAATTCTCCCGCCTCTCAGGGAGGTGGATGAACTTCAGTGACAGGAGAACCCCTGCCACTGGTGGAGGTGCCAGTGCAGCTGTGGGATGGTAGCGGTTTAAATGTAGACAAACCCTCACTCCGCCTTTGCATCAAACTGGAACGGGGTCTGAACCTGGACAGGGAGTGGATAATACAGGGGTGGCCAACCTGTGGCTCCGAGCCACATGTGGCTCTTCAGAAGTTAATATGCGGCTCCTTATATAGGCACCGACTCCAGGGCTGGAGCTACAGGCGCCAACTTTCCAATGTGCCGGTGGGTGCTCTCTGCTCTGCCACAGGCCCTGCCCCAACTCAACCCCTTCCCACTCCTCCCCTGAGCCTGTTGTGCCCTCACTCCTCCCCCCTCACACCCTAGGGCCTCCTGTATACCACAAAACAGCTGATGGGGAGGAAGGGGAAAGGCGCTGATTGGTGGGGCTGCCAGTGGACGGGAGGCGCTGGGAATCGGGGGGCGGAGAAGCTGATGGGGGGCTGCTGATGTATTACTGTGGTTCTTTGGCAATGTAGATTGATAAATTCTGGCTCCTTCTCAGGCTTAGGTTGGCCACTCCTGGTATAATAAAAGCCCACACCTCACCCCAGTGGGGGCTGTGTCTTAGCATTAGGCAGGGGATCCCTGTATAAACAGTCCCTGCACCCCACCCAGAGTCCGTCTCTGTAGGATCCCACAGCACAGCCTCCTTCAGACAAAACCAGCCCACACCCCCACAGACAGCACTGCCCTGGGGGCAGCCCCATACACTCCCCACTCACCTCCTCTCCCCAGTCTTCCCCCCAGGAGTTCTTGATGATCCAGTACTGCATTTTCTTCTCTGAAATGAATTGGTGAAGAGAAAGGCACAGTGGTCTTAGTGCTTCTGACAGCTGAGCCCCCTGCCAAACCCCCACTTCATTTAACCCCATCTCACCCAAATCCAAACCCCTGCACTGCCCATCCCCACTCACCATGCCCGTAGCCAACCAGCAGGACAACATGATCCATCTGGTCTGGACTGCAGCTCATCACCGAGGGCTGGGAGATGCCATTTTGATAATTCTGAAGAGGCACAAAAATGAGTGGAAAGCGAGTTAGGGGGGTTGGGGGGGCGGCTTAGTGGTTGGGTCACCAAGGGATGGGCTGAGTAGCCAGAGGGCTTCTCCCGCATTGCTAATTGGGTGGTACGTACCTTCATGACAGCTGAGTTCAGGGTAACTGTGATTGGGCCTGTGCTTGCGACGTGTGCAGCTATTTCTACAAGAGGAAACCCAAATGTACTGGGTGAGGATAATGACCCAGGAACAAACACCCCTGACCCAGGCATGGCCCTACCAGTTTGCTGCTGTCCCCACACACTGGCTACAGTCGCCCTTACCCCTCCCTGTGTCCTCTGGGCCCCCTGCACCCCTCATATTCCCTCTCTGCTGCTCAGAGCTCCCCCAGGGGGAAGCATGAAACTAACCAGCCCCTTGTTGGTTTCACACACATCACCCCATGCACCCTCCTGCCTATGAACAGCTGCCTAGAAACTGACCAGGTTTGATCAGTTCTGGCCCTGCTTTCCCCCTCTCCCCCCCCAGCCCTCTTTGTCACCTTCTAATTCTGTTCTGCTGCCCCTCACTTGCTCCCTTTGCCCCCCACCACTGCCCCCTGAATGGCCCACTCTCCCCTGGCCCCAGTGCTGGCCCCACCCCAACCCTTCTCCCCCACAGGCCTCACCCTCTTCATCTCCAGGTAGGGTCTGGAAGCCCTGGATATAGGCAGCCGGCTCATTGAGGTTGTGGCATGTCTCCTGTCTCCCTGTGTAGGGGTAGGCATCCTCGCTGGTCAGCCCACCTGGGAGGGAGTGTATGTGAAAGGTCTGGGATGGGCCCAGAGCGCCTCATTCCCTGCTCTATCCTTCCCCTGTTCTTGACTCAGGTCAGAGTAAACCCCCTCCCCCCAAATTCAACCTGTCACAAAGAGTGTGGCCAGAGCAGGGTCAGAGAGTGAAGAGGGGTCGCCCTTCTGTATACAGTATCGGGAAAATTGCTCCCAGTCTGGGTCAGGTCTATGCAGCACCTGGCGTGATGGGGGCCCCAATCTCAGTCAGGGTCTGCACAGTGTCTGGTGATGGGGGCTGCAGACTGGGCTGGGGGCCCCAATCTCAGTCAAGGGGTCTGTGCAGCACCTGTGGTGATGAGTCTCCATGCACTAAAGTATCCTCACAGTAAACAGTTGTGAGGAGTGAATAGAGGACAGTCCTGGGAGCTGTGGGGGGCTTTATTGTCTGCAGGGCAAAGGACCCCACGTCCCTCCAGTGCCTACATACGCTTGTGCAGCACCGTAGTGAAGGCATCCCATGCGTAGCCCCCTTTGCACCCCGCTCCACACCAGCTGCAGTCCAACACCTCTGCAAGGGAAGTAGTGGGTGAGCACCAAGCCAGCTCCCCCTCACCCCAGTCAGACCCTGGGATCCTGCTCCTGCTGGGTGGCACACACTGACCAGGAAAGACCCCAGTGGGCACTGGCTCATCCGACAGGCAGGACGTCTCACAGTGGCTCCCACCGGGGTGATCAACCCACCCCTGCATGGAGAGACTCAGCATCTGCCACTCCCTGCTTTAACATCTGGTGGGGGAGAGTTCCATGGGCAGGGCTCAGCTGATAGTAGACTGGTGGGGGGGGGGGGAAGGTCGGTGATGGGATCCTAGCCTACTAGGAGACAAGTCTGTGGTGGGACTGTCCCCCCACCCCAGTGAGTGCTAATGGGGTGAAAATATGTGAACCCCTATGCATGGAGACATGGTCCCTGTATACCCCACGCACCCAGCCTGCTCCCAGGCCCATCAAGGGTTACAAGCTCCCAGTTTGGGACAGGAAGTGAAGTGGGTACTTTACTCTCTCTCTCTCTCACACACACACACACACTCTCTCTCTCTCTCTTCCCCCCTCTCACAGCTGGGAAGGGCACAGAGTTTACAACAGTCCCAGGCGCCCCCTTCTCTGTGCCCCCCATTCACCCCAGCCTGTGGGGCTGCTGCACACAGCAGGGCAGCACTGGGGTGCCCCGCCCTGTTCCAGTCGAGGGGGCGGGGCTCCTCCCAGCCCCTACCTTGCACCGAGAGGTTCCGGGGCTGGTGGAAGTGGATGTTCCAGAGGGACTCGATGTTGGCAACGGCAGCGAAGGCCCAGCAGGAGCGGCACTTATCGCCCTGCGGAGAGAGGGGTGAGGCCCAGCGTGGTGCTAGGGGGCCCTGTGCTGCAGGGCAGGAGGGGGCGCTCTCCCCAGCCTCAGCGCTGACCCCAATGCCCCAGCTGAGGGAGGGGGCGCCGGCTGGGGTTAGCAGTGGGGAGCGGGGTGGGGCTGGAATGATTTTGTCAGTACTGAGCCCCTCATGGCTCCCCCTGTCCTGCCCCATCTAACTGCCCGTCTTGGGGGTTCCCAACCCCGCCCCTCCCACAACTACCTGGTTCTTCACGGCGGTCACGGCACCCGCCTTCCTCCAATCGCAGGACAGGGGCAGCTTCTTCCTCGGGAGCTGGGGGGCCTGGTGCATGGTGGGGGGCGGGGGGCTCCGGAACATCCCCCGGAACTCCTCATCTGGGGAGATGGAGGGAGATGGCGCTGAGGGGGTGCTGGAAGGAGAAGTGAGGGGGGCAGAGCACTGGGGGGCAGGCAAAAGGGGTGCAGAGCAGTGGAGACAGGGGAAGGGAGAAGGTGCACGGGAGGGGTGCAGAGCGGTGGGGGCGGGGAAGGGGGTGCAGAGCAGTGGGGGCAGAGAAGGTGCATGGGATGGGTGCAGGGTGGGGAAGGGGAATGAAGAGTGGTGGGGGCTGGGAAGGGAGGTAGTGCAGAGTAGCGGGGGCAGAGAAGGTGCATGGGAGGAGTGCAGAGCGGTTGGGGTCAGGGGAAGGGGAGTGAAGAGCTGTGGGGGGGCGAAGGGAGAAGGTGCATGGGAAAGATGCAGAGCGGTGGGGCCGGGGGAAGTGGGGTGCAGAACAGTCAGGGCAGGAAATGGGGTGCACGGCAGGGGTGCAGAGCGGTGGGCGAAGGGGAAGGGAGGGGTGCAGAGCTGCCCGGGAGAGGGATGCGGCGCTCGGAGGCGCTGGGGTCGTTCCCCACCTGTCCAGTCGCTGAAGCGGGTCACCCCGTACTGCCCCGTGCCCAGCTCCGTCTCCTGCAGCTGCCGCGCCGCGAGCAGGCTCCGCGTGAAGATCCCAAAGCGTCTGCGCTGCTCTGGAGGGGGATGGGGGTGTTACGGGCACTGGGGGGCACGACACCCCCAGCCAGTGGCAACAGATACCCTGATCCCCCACCCCATCCCCCAGCACAAATCGGGGCGGGGATTTTCCACCCTCCCAGCGCCTCTTTCCGCTGCCAGCTACAGAGCCGAGCCACAGGGGGCTGGGTGTGAAACCAGCATGACAGAAAGAGCGAGACAGCAGCGGAGCCCCCGCCCCTCCCGCGCATCCCCCCGGCCCAGGGGGGAGGGGAACATGCAGGGCTCAGGGAAGGCGGCTCGCACCAGCCGCGGCCAGGCCAGGCCAGGCCAGGCCCAGAGGTGGCTGGTCACAGAGGCGTGGAGAAGGGGATCGGGGGTGGACAGACCAGCCCGCCTCAGCCCCATCCGTCCCCCTGCTGCCCCCCATGTTCTCCCCTTGGTAAGAGCCCCCAGGAAGAGCCGCCTGCCCCCCCACACCAACAGCCCCCCACTCCCGTCCTGTCCGTCACCTGCGGGGCTCCTGTAGGTTCTGTTGAACTGAATCATAAAATCCTTGAACATTCGCATCACTTCAGCCTGAAATGGACAAACCGGCAGGATTGTGGGGAGCGAAGGGGCGTCCCAGCAACCAGTGCCCCTGCCTCAATCCCCACTCCCAGCCCCCAGCTACCCACAGCTCTGCTAATGCCTCCCAATCCCCACCCACAGCCCCCTGCTACCCCTACCCCAGCTCCCGGCTATCCCTGCTTTGGGGTGGAGTCCACTGCCATCTGGGGTGGATGGGGGGACATGCCCGTCTGGGTGGGTGGGCGGGCGGGCATTGGTGTCTGTGCAGTTTGGGTGTGTGTGTGGGGGGGAGCACATGGAGAATAGGGGAGTGTGCAAGGAGCGTGAGGCACAGACTGGCCTACAGTGGTGGGGAATGGCTACAGGACCTTCCCCTCTCTCGGGTGCTGGCTCCAATCCCCATCCCTGGATTCTCCACACATGCACCAAATGCTGGGTCTCAGCACAGTAGCCAGTGAGTCTTGGCACAGACACTCGGTGTCTTCTCTGTCCTTCTCTGGCTTTCAGGCCCACTCTGCCCCAAAACTGCTCCTCCAGGTGCATCCTCCATCCCTTACCTTGCTGAGTTCGGTGGGCAGGACAGAGCCAGCTGGGAGGGTCCAGGCCCACAGCAGCAGGAGACAGGGACTCAGGACTCCAGGCCCCATGGCAGTAGCTGCTCAGTGCCTGCCCAGGCATCCTGGGGGGTTATATGGGGAGGGGCAGGCAGAAGAGTGGCGGAAACCACAGAGCAGAGGAGCTGTAGGTGTGAGATCCGGGGGTGGGGGAGCAGATGTGTGAGTGTGGGGAGGGAATCCGAGATGTGGGGGTTGGGCTTCAGACGTCCAAGCAGCCTCAAACCTGCTCCTGTGCCCTCAGGGTCCGCACCATGGAGGGGGGCAGATTTGGGGACAATGGGGCATTGTTCCATCCATTCCCATCGCTCATCTGCTCTACTACATTTACCGGGAGGCACCATCCCCTGGTGACCACCCTCCCCCCATGGGAGGTAAGAGTCCCTCAGAATCCAGGGACCTCAGGAGCAAAGTCACTTATGGAAGCCAGAGCACAGTGAACCTCTGTCTGGGGCCGGCCTGGCCATGCTGAAATTCAGCCCGGATGCCTGGGTCCACACCCTGAGTCCAGGGGAAAGGATCAGCCGTGACCTCCAGGTAACACTGCACTGGAGAAGTGAGGCACATAGCACCCCCTACTGAACCCCCCGCAGCGCAGCACCCCATAGGGCTGCACTAGGGCATTGGGGCCAGCACTGATTGTGAGGGGTGAGTGCCCCCTACTGAATCCCCACCCTGCGGCCTGTCTAGCTAGCGAGGCAGGCCCTGTTCAGAGACATGGCTGAATCCACCCTACCCAGTTCCCCCCACCCCCAGGCCTTGAACGGGTGCGGGCGCTGAGCTCGCAAACAGCTAATCACCTGACACATTTCAGCCCTTCAACCCCCCCCCCAGCTCATTGTACCCAGCACCACAGAGCTCTGTGCTTCATCCTGACACAAGCAGCCCCCTGCTAGCCCAGCTCTGAGCTCCCCCTGACTCTGCCTCTGCCCCTCCATCCTGACTTGCAGCCCCCCCCCCCGACAACTCCTCAGCTTTGGACCCCATTTATCCCCAGAATCCCGGTCCCTCCTCCTGCCCCTGGCTTGGGCTCATTTAGTTGAACAGTTGCTGTGTTTTAAGGGTCCCACACCCAGGGCCTGTGTGGGAAGGCAAAGGAATCATTAGTGTGAAAGGTCTGAAATCTCCATCACTTCAGGAAACATGGTGCCTGATTCACCAGTGAGTGGGGAGTCCAGGGCTGGGAGAGCAGGGGGCTGTGGGTAAGGATAGGGCCCAGGGTTGGGGATGGGGATTGGGGAGGGATCTCAGCAGTGGGAGAGGCAGGTGGTGTGGGGAGCACAAGCTGTGGGAGTGGGGATCGGGGAGGGATCTGGGCAGTGGAGGAGGCAGGTGGTGCGGGGAGCACAAGCTGGGGGGGTGGGGATCGGGAAGGGATCTGGGCAGTGGGGGAGGCAGGGAGCATAGGGTGGGGGGGACATTTTCCCAAAGCTTGGAAGGCTCTCAGCAGCAGAGCTCCTGTTCTAAGGGGTAGGGGGGACACTGTGGGCCAGAGCAGGCTGTGTCACTATCCCACAATCCCCTTCTCTGTCTCCCCCAACCCCAGGTTCCTGGCCCAAGATGTACCAGAGATGGAGAATTTTGTGAACCTACATAAGGGGCAACCGATCAAGCGCCAGGTGTGTCCCTGCCCTGCCCTGGGTCTGGGGAAAACTCCCCAGTGGACCCTCCCAGAGTAGGGGACTCGGTGGAGTGGGGGTTAGAGAAAGGGGGTATTCTAGCATTGCCAGTTCCCCACCAATGTCTTGTGGGTCCCACCAGGGCCATCCGGGTACCCTTACTTCCCAGCATGCCCCTGGGGAGACTGGCACTGCCCTCCCTGGGTAGAGATGGGGACTGGGGAGCTCTCATGCCCATCTCCCTGTCCAGACTGTCATCACCTGCATGAGCACGCTGAAGAGAACATGGCGGATGAGGACGCGGTCAGCTGCCTGGTGATTGGGATGGAAAGTGCTGATGTCCTCATCCTGGACCCTGAGGCCTTCACTATCCTGGTCAAGGTGAGTGGGGTGCCAGAGGTGGCTGCATCTCAGCACCAGGCAAGGGACCCCATCTCATATATAGCTCGTTCCCATGGGTGTGGGGCTGCCCCAGCTCTCCATTTGCTGTTGCAGATGACGTTGTCGAGCGTGCCAGCCTTCCTGGACGTGATGGGGCAGTTTGATGTGGAGTACTGGGTCACGGTGGCCTGCCGGGATGGGAGCACCTACATCCTGCGCAGGTGACAGCCATCTGTCGTGGAGCCCGGGGCTGGAATGGGGAAAAGGGGAAGGCAGCGGAGTGCTGAGGAACCTAAGATAAGGAACCTGGTATGTCTCCCCCTCCCGCCAGACCAGACCTATGGTCCTTTCCAGCTTGGTATTCCCTTCCCTCTCCGATCAGACCCACGGGCCCATCCCAATACTCTGCCTCTCTGCTGCCCCACTGCCCAACAGCCACCCATGCCAGTTGCCCATAATGCACCTCTCTTTGTAGCACTCTCCCATAGGGTGATTCCCTCCATGCAAGGGCTCAGCCAAGCCCCCGTGCTTGAAGGTTTGGTCTTGTGTAACATCCCTATGGGTGAGGCCTGTCTGTGCCCATTCCCTATGGGGCACTAGGGGTGGGGCAGCTGGGCAGGTCTTGGAACCTGTGTGCCCCCAGATCTACTCCCTACATCACCTGTGAACAAGGCACCTCTCCCTGGGGGGACCAGCAGGAGATCTCCATGGCTCCATTTTAAGTCTGGTCTGCTAAGGGGGCCAGTGTCACAGGGGTGCCACACAAGGGATCCTTGTATAAATTGGCCTCCTGCCCCACTCCAGAGGCAGATAAACAGCCTTGCACCCCACCCCAGAGATGGCTACATCTGAGTGCCAGATCTCTTTCTCTTACAGGGGAAGAAGCTCTGGACAGTCTATCTGCCAGCCCCACTAATGACCATGAGCCTCCTAGACCAGAAATCACACAGCTTCCAGGCTGTGATGGTAGGTCTGGCCAACCAGGAGGTGCACATGTATTGGGACAAAAACCTTGTGGACGTCATCCGCACCCAGGTAACTTCCCCACCAGGCAAAGCCAATGCCAGGGGTAATGCAGTACTCTTGGGTTCTATCCCAGCTTTGGGCAGAGAGTGGGGTCTCATGGGTTAGAGTGAGGTGGCTAGGAGCCGGGATTGTGGGTCTGGTGGTTATGGAGGAGCCAGGACACTGGCCGAGCTGCCTGATACCCCATTACCACCCCCCTCGCTCCCCCACAGGACGTGGTCACCAGCATTTGCTTTGGCCGCTATGGGCATGAGGAAAACACCCTGATCATGACGACTAAAGGTAGGCAAGGGGCATGCCGGGCTGGCACTATTCAGTTCCGTGTGCTGCTGTGCAGTACTGAATGCACCCTGCAGGGGATGCTGCTGGCTGTGTGCAGGACACCCTGCCCAGCCCCATCTGTAAGGACACCCTGACCCTAGCTTAGAAATTCTACCCTCAGGCATCTGGGCATCAGCTGGGCTCCAGCTGATGGGTCAGGAAGGAATTCAACTCCCGTGGGACAGTGCAGTGCAGCAAGGGACATTAAGGAGACAGTACACCATGGGGGATGGGCCCACGGGTCTGATCCAGGGAGAGGGGATTCAGGACCTTTGTGCCCATTTGTACTCTATCCTGGTTGTCCCACCCCGCAGGCGGGGGGTTGATCATCAAGATCCTGAAGCGCACGGCTGTGTTTGAGGAGAAGGACACGTTGCTGGGCCCTCCCGTGGCCCAGAGCATCCGACTCAGCGTGCCCAAGAAGACCAGGCTGTATGTGGACGAGACGCTGCGGGAGCGCGAGAATGCCGTGGGTGAGTAGGGCAGGAATGGTGGGTTGAGGACGGGGACTGCTTGTAGGCAGGTTGTTGAAGATACAGCTGGGGGTGTAGGGGTATGAGGAGGGGGAGTGGAGATTTGGGGTGGGAGGCGAGGTGGGGCATCTCCCACCATTTCCCATGCCCCCCTGGCCATGAGTCTCCTCCCATGCGCCCAGCCGTAGAGCCACCAGTCCCACTCCGTGCATCAACGATGGGAAAGAGAGAAGCCACTGGACTGGGATTTACTTACCAACTCAGCATGTCCATGCAAATGCACTGGCCAGCCACTGGGGGCGCTGTGCTGCAGGGAGCAGGATGGGGACTCAGTGCTGACCCTGGTGCCAGCGGAGCGACACTAAAGGGCCCTGTGCTGCAGATAAGGCATAAAGCCAAGATCCGTTGTGATTGGTAGAGATCCCCCTTGTTGATTGGCTCCTGGCCCCAGGCTGACTGTCTGTCCTCGCTGTCCCTTCACCCCTCGCCAGCCATGCACCGCGTGTTCCAGATGGACCTGTACCGGCTGTGGATGTCAAGGCGCTGGAGTCCAGCCTGGTGCCTGTCACATCCACACTGCAGGAGCCCCTTAAGATGAATGCCGTGGTGAGTGGGTCATGGGGACACCAGACCCTTGGAATGAGGAGGGTATGGGGCATTTGGAGGAAGCCAGGAGACGGGGTGAGAAAATTCAGGATTGCGCAGGCGGAGGCTGGGAGCCAGGACTCCTGGGTTCTCCACAGCTCTAGGAGGGGAGGGGGGTCTGGTGGGCGTGGGGCTGGGCAGTTTTCCCTGCTGTGGGTTGTCCCTGTGCAGGACTATTTTTAAAATCCCCCTCCCATCCTGCCCCGCAATACCCACTCCCACACCCGCTCCCGCCTTCTTTCTTGAATTTTTATCCTGCTCGTGCTATTATGGCAGCAGGACCCTCGGGATCCCAGTCCCGCTGCAGGGCTCTGAAATTGCCCCAGCAATGGCTGAACGTGCTGCTTTCAGCAAATGTCTCCCCACCAGCACCCATCCACTCCCTGTACCCCCGTGCAATGGGATGGGAACCCTCGACCCTCTCAGCTGCATCTCCCCTTCCCTACACACAGGGATTAGAAACCTCTAACCCTCCCTGCAAATGGCTGGAGAGCCCCTGCATCATCATGCAAAGGGGACAGGAAGCCATCCCCAGGCCCAGGCAGGGAGATTTCCCATTGTCACCCTTAGTTCTGTGCTGCTGCTGACAGCGGTGCTGCCTTCAGAGCTGGGCCACCAGAGAGCGGTGCCTGCTGGCCGGGGCATTCGTGTGGTTTGCGGTGTGGAAGGACTATTTTTTTAATCCTGCTCCCGCATTGTTTCTTGAATTTTTCTGCCGCTCCCGCTGTTATGGCAGCGCGACCCTCGGGATCCCAGTCCCGCTGCAGGGCTCTAGGTTAGGGTTACCATTCGTCCGGATTCCCCCGGACATGTCCGGCTTTTTCGGGGTAAAAATAGCGTCCGGGGGGAATTTGTCAATGTCCGGACTTCCCCTCCT